TCAATTCATGACAAGGGAATCAAAAGTATTCTTTTTGGAAGGAGAGAGATTACCTTTCTGTAGACATGATTGAATATTTTTGGTAATAGTCTTTATTTATTTGGCTCTCATCATGAAGAATAGCAAACGTATTCAAAATCTCAGTAGATCAAAAATATGTCAATACATAAAACGTAAATATTATTCCATAATATAGGTTCATGCAGAAAACTATGTTAATGCGATATGAAGTTTGCACAACTAAGAAATCAGAAAACATAAATGTTATGGTTCCAGCACCCACATTAACTCAGTCACATTTCACATCCTCTATATTTTATGGAATACATTTTACAACATAAATCCGGAATAGGAGGTACTATATATGTGCAACATGGCTCAGTTAATGTGGCAGTTTGAACCTTGATGTTTGTATTTCCTGACTGGGGATTTTTAAACTTCAACCTTAATGGGTTTTTTTGCATCTAATTTTTCTAGTTTCTTCCTTTTTAAAAGAGGAAAATTGTCTGTACTAAGAATGAGTTAGCTCAAGATGTTTTGATTTAGACAAGAGTAGGGGGCATTATATTATTCCAGGGAGGGAGTACTTTATGACATGTATATGTCTGGTGCAGCATACCTTTCTCTGACACTCCTTTTTTGGAGGCGTGATGAACATCCGTACTGTCAAGGCTCCATCCTTTCTCATCCACCTGTGTAAGTGGCTCTGCAGAGCCTACTGCCCTTCATACAATGGCACACCAGTATACATTATGGCACACCAGTATAAGGGACTGCCTTACACATCCTTATTCCCTTGTGCTAGCCCACAGGATGGGCCATAATCTAGCCCAGTGTTAAAATTTAAATGGTCCTAATAAGACTTTGAAGTTCAGACCACAGTGAGGTAAAGGAGTGTTAAATTCCCACATTTGGTGCTACTGTTTATCTGGAGACAATATCATATTTGGCCAGGCTAGAAATACAGGAGCACATAGATTAATCTTATGACTAATGTATCTTTATAATGACAAAGGTAAAATTTGAAATGAAAGATTAGAACTTGCAGAATATTGCAGTATACATTAAAAAATTGAAAGACCCCTTATAATCATGGGGTCTGGGATTTGTTTCATATGCCATTGATGTCAAGACAGAATTTTTATTTAGAATTATTTTTAGGATTTTAGTATGTGCTCTTCAGTGAGAAGTATTTGCAGCCTTTATGAAGCCAGTACCTGTACCAGCAGGTCTGGGTTGGATTCAGTGATGTCACAAAAGAGGCTGAACTTCACTAAGCTGTGTTAGAATCTTAGTAGGTTCCCACTGAGCATGTTCCTAAAAGTTTTTGTCTCCCAGTTGCTAATGATCTTTTAAAATTTTTTATATATTTGTAAACCAAGTGAAGGCACTAGTCCTTTCTGAAAAGACTGTGCCTATATTGAGTCTCAGTTTTCAAATATTATTTACTCATGCTGTAATTAGATAAAACCAACATGGTTAGAATTTTTTTTTTCATTTATTTATTTTTGCAACGGGCAAAGTATATTTTTATGCATGCTCAGAAGTGGTAAGAGGGCTGTTGCTCAAACTTTTAGGGCACCAAACTCCATAGGGCACCAAAATTTTCCTATTGGCAGACAACATTGGAAATTTCTGTGTAAAAGAATTAATGTTTCAGAAAGCTACCAGCATATGAATCAGAGGTTTATAATGGAAACTATTTGATAATCTTAATTATAACTGTCACTATTAGTGATCACTGTAAAATAAAAAGAATGAAAATTTGCTATACCATTTTATTAACTGAGGAAATGTTCTTTCTTTGCTTGCAGTGTGAAAGACAATTGCACGTAAACACAATTTTTCTGGGAATCCCCTTCAGTGTATTATGCAAAATGACATAAATGTATAATTCTGGTACCCTAGCACTTAGGAAAATAGAATATTTTTGGTGGGTTGCTTTCACTGTTCCTCAGTCAGCCGCTCAGTCAGTCAGTAGCACCCCTTTCTTGCTGACTACAGCCCCTGCCTTTGGCATTCAGATTTTCTGTTGCTTCAGAGATATCTGATAGCAGCCAATACATTTATTAACCAAAAAGTCTTACCAGACAAGGCAGAAAATGCCCGAGTTGGGGAGTACCAAACCGTCCCACCATTTTGAAACCAATCTGTAAAGATCTGGACTCTTCTGGAGATAAGACTACCAATCAGTGGGATTCTCCTAGGCCTTCCTCTCCATAGGGCACCAAAATAGGGCCTCTGTGTAAGATCCAAGAGAAGAACAATGCCCAGTCTTACTAGGAAACTTCCCACACCCTCCGCATGGACACAGGTGTCTAGGCAGGATGAGATGTTCAGGTAGAACCCACAGTCTCTGTGCACAGGTCTTTCTGACGGGGCACTGACAAGACCCTTCAACCATAAAGAGTGGTGGCTTGAGAAATCCAATAACAGCTCTTGGCCAATATAATTGGAATAGAAATGCTAATATGCTAATTCTGTTACATTTTATTTTATAAATAATGGCCATACAGCTGTCTAATGGCCCTTTACCTAATACTTTGATTTCAGCTATGGATTATGCATGCAAAAAATCACTTGAAACTTCCATTACTATCAAGGTATTGCCTGGACAAAGAATGTCTGTCACAAGACCCCTTGTTCAAGCAAGGATGAAAGATTATGGGCTGAGTTATTGGTTAAATTGGATTTTTCCCACCCCTTCATTCTAGCTGTCAATTTGGTTTCTCTTTTATTCTCATCCTTTCTTTTTTAGCAGCCAAAGCAGTTTAATCACTGATGGTCAATTACACTCCTCCAAAAAATAATGCTATTTGCACTGTGCAAGTCAGATAAAAGGGGTCATAGTATAATTATTACAGTGTCTGTGCTCCCCTAGAAACAGATTAAAGCGCTGATCTGTTCTCCCTGTACCTTCCCAAGAATTCATGTGCTAACGTAGGAGCAGAAAAGCGTTCTGAATTTTGATCTCCTGAGTTGTGAAGGCTACAAAGAATGTGGGTCTAAGAGTGAAAGGTGGGGGCTTCACTAGAAAGAAAGCTGATGCTCAGGTCATTCACTGAAAGCAAAGTAAGTAATTGGCTTCAGCTTTGTTTTGTTCTGGGGAGATTTTAATTACGTTTTTTTTAATATGCTGTTTAATAAGCATTTGTCCACGAGCAGTACCTTGTGATCCCGGTCTGTTAGACAGGGGGATTAATTTCCATGTTGTTGTTGTCATTTATTATTGGTTTAAATAGTAACACGAAATTGTGGTAGGTGTTTTATAGAACAGAACTGATGGTGGTCTCTGATCCAAAGGTTGCGCAGTCTAAATGTGGACATAACATAATGTGCGAGAAGAGTGAGAAGTGAAGGACGAGTATGACATAAATAAGATCCTGGGGTTGCTTAGGTTTGTTGTGTGTGCATCTTGGGTATGTCTACACTGCAATTAAAAACCCGTAGTTGGACTGTGCCAGCTGATTCAGACTCAGGCTAAGGGATGTTTAATTGTGGAGTAGAGGTTCGGTGTCAGGCTAGAGCCCGGGCTCTGGGCCCCTGTGAGGTGGTTAGGATCCTACAGCTGGAGCCTGAATGTCTACACTGCAGTTAACCAGCCCCTTAGCCTGAGCGCTGGAAGCCCGAGTCAGCTGGGACAGGCCAGCTGCTGGTGTTTAATTGCAGCGTAGACCTATCACTTGATGGCTGTATTCTTGTTTTAATTGAGGTGATAAGTGTACATTCTGAGAAGGTGGGAAGGTATGTGGATAAAAAAAGGGGCGATTATGGAGAGATGGTGAAGCAGAGTGGAGTGCAAACTACTGGAAGAGGCAAGGAACAGGAGCACAAACACAAAAGGAATGGTTCCACGGATACAGTGCTGTGGGGTTAGCAAAATGTAATTGTGTGGCAGTACGGACAGAGCAACTTCTGGCAAAAGTTTGTAGTTGTTTTCATTGCCTATCTAATATTGCTGCATATATGTAACAACTACCAATCCCGATGCAGAACAGCTATGTACTAATATGCTAAGTAAGCAGATTCACCTATGCACCAGAGAAACAATGTATGGACAGTAGTGGGAGCTTGTTAAAACTCTACTTGTTCACTGCAAGTGTTACAGCCTCAATGCTTGCAAGAATATTTACACTTCAGAGCCTACCGCCACAGGCCATAGTGGTGGTAGCACTAAGATGATACCTCAAGCACCAATACTTTGGGGAAGGTTAAGTGACTTGATTGACTTTATAACATAAAGTCTGCATAGGTGTGATCTGCTATGTGCACTATTTTGTTTATTCTAGCACCTTTGACCAGTTGCTGGTGTATATTTATGTATTATATTGTTGCTTGAATCTTTGTCAAAAGATCTATCTTGGGAAGGCGAGGGAGAGACTCAGAAAGAAAAAAACTGAGAGCATTTAAGCATTTACTTTTAGAGAAGAAGCAAGCAATTTAAAAAAGGGGGGCTGAATGTACCTATTAAACGCTGAAAGTGTTTGCAACTGCATCACAAACATTAGAACTTGTTACTTAATTTCATTGTACAAAATGGCATTCCTCTTGGAAAGCACACCTTAGAATTGGGGTGGGTTTTTTTTCATAATTCTACTTCTTGATCAGCTGATCAGAACAATTCCTGCAGTAGGTTAGCCTTGTGCCTACTCAGAATAAATGTCTTCTGTTAAAACTTTTGCTGTTTTTATTTATTTATTTTGAGACTAGACATTACGGAATTGTGACCGTCACTAGGATATACATTCATAAATTGCGGTATCTGATTTCCTTGGACATTCTTGTTGAGAATAAAGTATCTTGGGTACTAAAAGTGGTACTTTGCAAATAGATCTGAGCACTTCTATTAACTGCGTGGTAAAAAGATTGGTAATATTGAGCCAGGTTTGTGGGTGAGGACTCCACTTCTATTGAGGTTAGTGCGCGACTGTAACCTTGCTTGGTTTCATATGATTCCACCTCCTGACTCATATATCTGCTTTGCTTGGCTCTTCTAACAGATGCCGCCTCAGTATGGTCAGCAAGGTGTAAGTGGCTACTGCCAACAGGGCCAACAGCCATATTACAACCAGCAACCGCAACCTCAGCATCTGCCGCCCCAGGCACAGTATCTGTCGCAGGCTCAGCAGAGGTACCAGACACAGCAGGTAAGCATAGTCACCCGCTGCTCACAGCTACAACATTGCGCTAATTAAAAAAAATGCAACATGTAGAAGATGGAAGATTTTCCAAATGGGTACTATTCCAAAAGCAAAAAAAACCAACAACACTCCAAACTCCACCCTTCTATTAACTGTCAGCTTAAAACAAGGCCGCAATGCTCTTGGAAAGTGTTGGTATATACAGATATATCTATTTCAAGCTTTGCTTGCTATATGTGTGTATTTAGAATAAAGCTAGTCCTACATTCCTCTTCAACTATCCCCCCTTTTTAAAAAGAGGTAACATACTTCATTGATTTTATGTAATTGTGGGTCATAGACTTCCACGTGTCTTGTTTTAAAATTCTTTGCAAGGCATTCTGGTGGTGCCTCCCAGCTGATGTGATCACTGTTGGTTTTAAAAAAAGAATAGGTGGAGCTGCTTCTTCAGGGGAGCTGGTGGAGAAGAAAATACATTTAAAACAGCACTTCACATTCCTCATTCCGCACATCCATTTAACTGTGTTAAATAACCCGATTTCCATGCCAGTTACTGTTTTGTGTTTATACCCAGCCATGGCACCCGTATGAAACATTTATTTTCATTGAAGCTGCTACAAATACGGCAGCATTTATTGGCTTGATTTTTTTAAAGACAGTCTTGTTTTAAAATATGATCGTGAGCAATAATGGCTGGCTTAATATGCTAGAACTTGAGGCATACCTGTGTGAGGCATCCTGGACTGAAGAGACCTTGGGTGCTTTTAGTGCCTGTAGCTGTACTTGTAGACTTAAGTTCCAAATATAGTCCCAGCAATGTTAACCGCAGAGGGACTGCCTGCCTAGGAGAGGAAGGAAGACAAGAGGAAAATGAAACCAAAATATATCCAGTATCCTCAGGGATCTAACTAAATTGAGCTGCTAAAGACTAGGTGCCTCTGGAAGAACTGTGCAGTATCATCACTCTCAGCAGTTCACTGGTGGACGATCCCTCAGGCACAGTCACTTAGCATACCAGGATAATACTGGGGCGGGGGAGAATATTTGCTTGTGATAAAAATACACTGTGAAACAAACTAACAAAAGAAGCCATATGTAGCTCGAGTGCTGTTGTCCTCCATACTCCGATTTTAAAGTAAGGCTAAAATATTTTTACTGCTTTATTAAAATTAGATAAACCGATTATTAAAACAAATTTCATTGGAAATAAAATTCATTTTAATTAAAACACTGCATCATTTATGAAATACAATTCTTAGGCATATCAGCCGTGCAGTTGAAAGCAGCCCCACCCCTCCATCATTTCGGTGACTTTAAACACGTAACTGTGATATCAAATATGAAATTGTAGTTCTGTCTTTAAATTTAATTTTCCTCTTTTTCTCCATTTTCATGGACGTTAAATAAATGATTTCTCAACCTCTGATGGGAAATTTTGATTCTGTTTATGTACAAACTTTGGCTAAATCAGTTAGCAGGCAGAGACATAGTAATACAGTACATGGTGATCTGTGGTTTGATATTAATAAGAACACTGCCAATAAGGGCCCACAGCTCTGCATGTCCACATATCTCCAATCAGCCGCCTGACAAACTGAATCAGTTTGTGGCTGCCAGGACGCCTGATCATATGTTGAATTGTTGTCACTTGAGCATGTAACTTGAACATTTTAATCTGTTTAAAAATCATGTACTTGTTGAATGTTACACAAAGTGTATGTATCTAATAACAAGTAATCTGGTATCCCGATGGTGCATGGCCAATTGATGATCCCTGCCACTCTGCCCAGTGCAGTGAAATTTTGTGCAGTTGTTTTTGTATACCTCAAAAAAGTAAGGAGATTACACAGAAGAAGGTTGGGGGAAGATGGTGAGTGGAGAGAGAGAAAAGGCACCCAAACTGGGATTGTGCCTCTGGCTGAATATTTGGCCACTATGGGGATTCAAACTCCTGTGTAACTCAGCTGCTTGGGACGAGTTCTTCTAATGGGGTTTCTGTGTATCATACTTAAGTGTGTCATGTTTCCATGTGGTGTCTACTCCACACAGAGGTTAAGAACATATGACTTGAACCACCTAAGGGAGTGATGCCTTTAGATAAAGTGATTGAGGCCTGTGATTTTGGTACTGAAGTTCGAGGGTTCTGTCTCCACTGAAGACCTCTGGTGGGGTTATTACAGAGTGGTGGATAACCAGGGCCGGTGCAAGGATATTTTGTGCCCTAGGCGAAATTTCCACCTTGCGGCCCTGCCCCCCCGCACATCGGTTCATTGAGGGGCAAATCCCAACAAGCCTTAATAGACCCCAGGGGCCAGCCGTGCCCAGGGGCTGCTCCCTGGCCCCTGAACTCCCCTGGAGGGTGCACAGCCCCCCACGAGCCCTCCCCACCCCAGTGGTCCCCGCCCCGAGTCCACTCACTGGGTTTGCCGGGCTTGGACCACTGCAGTAGTTCGGCAGGGAGGAGCTGCCTTCTGGAGGCACCAGAGAGCCAGAGCATTGGCTTGCGGTGGCAGCGAGCCCCAGCCATGGAGGAGTCGGCACGGCGCAGGGGGCAACAGCCCTGCAAAAGCGGTGGCGCGGCTAGCGCGGAGCAGCTGCACTCCCCGCCCCTCCTGCTTAGGCTGCGGCCCGGCGTTAGGGTGATCAGATCAGCAGTATAAAATACCGGGACGGGGTGGAGCAAAAAAAAAAAGAAAGGGAGTTTAAAAGGGGCCCTGGCCCTGCGCACTGCCCTCCCCGTGGAGCCTCCTGCCCCGCCACGGGCATATGCGGCGTGCAGTGGGTCCGGGCGGGGGCAGCGTGGAGCGGGCAGGAGCCGATCCCCGCTGCTCCCAGGGAGCCCTGCGCCTCCCCTTCCTGCTCGTGGCTGTGGCTCCTTCCTGGCGGGATGTGCCTCCCGCCGCCCCGGCCACATACTGAGCGTGTCCCCTGCGCCTAGTCTCCCTCCCGCCGGGAAGGAGCAGCTGGACGCGCGCCGCATGTGCCCGGGGCAGGCCGGGGGGCGCGTCCTGCCGGGAAGGAGCCGCAGCCGCAAGTGGGAGGGAGAGGCGCGGGGCTCCCCGGCAGCAGCAGGGATTCGGCCCACCCCCCTGCGCCGCCCACCCGGCCCCTGCCCGCTCCGCGCTGCCCCCGCCCAGACCCACCGCGCT